TACATTTCTAATATAACCTATTACTACGGAAATACATCATTAAGCTTGTGTTATGAACTGGGAATGACTGGATGTCAGTCATTTTGTCCTAATTGAAATAGTTATTTTATAAGCGAATTTTAATAAAGTGTGTTAAAAACGTTTGTTTTTCGATCACAATGGCAACCACCAGTGCAAGGCGTGGATCTGTTATGTTGATAGAGGAACTTCATGGACAGTAAGAGCGATGAAGAAGAATTTTCTCAGATTTACCCATGCAAATATTGGTGATGTGTGAGAGTGAGACTGAAAGTGATTCTGACCAAAGAGGAGGAATTTTCAAACCATCACAAGCATACGATCACCCGTGGCTACCAGAGTTTTCCTATGCTCCCTGATCTACAAAGCTAGTGAGGTAAATGTTTTTTGTCCCTTTTTTTTTATCTGACAAAGTTATTCAACTAATCGTAGTGGAAACTAATCGGTATGCAAATGATATGAAAACAAAATTAGGTGACACAGCAAAGCCCAACTCGCAAATCAGAGCTTGAAAAAACGTTTGCTCTGAAGAAATGAAAGCATTTTTGGCCTTGCTTTTGTTGATAGATTTGATAGTGACCTTCGTATTCGTATTACTGGACAAAAGACCCCCCTTTTATATATGCATAGTTTTCATGATGTCATGAGTAGAAATCAGTTGTCATATTTTCTTTTAAATTTTCATGTCTATTTTTTTTTTCCTCAAAATTTATTATAATGTACAGTAAAAAAAAAATGTCTACATTTTTCAAAATCCTTTCATGCAAATACCCTGAAAGTTTTATAACAATATCTCTAAAACCCTAAAGGTTACAGTGCTATTAATGCACCCACCATTCAAAAACTTAGCACACCCAACATTAATGTGGATCCAGGGGACACAACTCTGAAACTCAGTGCGGATTTGTAAAGGTTAAATATATTGTCTATTATTTCCTAATTAAAAGCTTTCGTTATGTTTGTTCTTATGCAGAGTCTGCTTGATGGTTAGTGAAGCAAAGCATGTGTGATGACTTTTGTCGTATTTTCTCGATTTCACAAGGGTTAGTGACTCCACCTTCATCATTGAAATTCAGACAGATTCAAATGAAGTATAAAGAGCCTAAAAATAACTTTCTTTTTAAAAAAAAAAAAGAATGGTTAAAAACTGGAGTCAATAGTTCCTTTTGGTAAATGCTTTTGCTTATTATGAAGGCCTACAGAAAATGTGGACATTTTTTTTTCAATATTACCAATACCAACATATGTCTGGCTGATATTATACAAAGAACACACCAGAAGTTTTGAGAACTTTTTCCGGAGTGACATTTATTTGTTTCAAAACAATACAAAACTTTAATCACCTTCAAAGTAGGACCTTCTGATTTCAATGCTGTTGTTGTAATGCTCCAGCCACTTCTTGAAGGACCCTTTATATCCCCCACTCCAAATGAAGGTGTTTCAGGTCTTTGTCACTGCCTCCTTTATCTACCCCATATCCTCAAAATGGGATTCCATATGTAGTCTTGACCATTTCAGATGTTTCTGCGACATTTTTGCCAAGATTAACACAAAATCAGAACCCTATGAAATAACCAAGACTGTTCAAGATGTGGCTGGGGAGCATTGGAGGGATCTACTTTTTTTTTTTATTTTTTTTAAAAAATCCTTTTGCCTCAAGCAAGGTGATAAAGCCACTAAGATGCAAGGGGTTTCCAAAAGTGAAAGAATCAGAAAAATCATTACAGCAAGAGAATAATAAAATAACAGAAATTAAGATGACAGACAATTGACACTGATCTTCAAAAATTTAAACGCAAAGCTGATAGGAAAGCAAGAAGATGGAAGAGAGTTCCAAAAGCAAGAAGTGTAAGAGAAAAACTGTTAGCATAGAACTTAGGGTTACACACAATAGACAACTGCAAAATGATGAGACCTAGCTGCCAATCCAGTACTGTACTGTGCTTAAATTCATAAAGTTGAGGTACCAAAGAGGGAAATTCCTCAGAATAATTGTTATGAAAATATTTATAGAAAAAGCACAGCGCAGCTATGTTATGCTGGTGAGAAAATGACTAAAAGTGAGATGCCAGATCAGTAACATTAATATTGCAGATTCTTTGAATTTTTATTAAGAATGTCTAAATATATAGCAGGGATACCAGATGAGATGTGGCAGCAATATTCAATGCGTGGATGTATGCCAGACTTATACATGTGTAAGATAGTCTCTTGCAAGAAAGATTGTCTAGCACAGTGAATCAACTTTCCTAGCAGTTGATTCAATATAATTGTTCTACCAAAAAAGCGCAATAAATCACTACTGGAGTTAGCATCAGTCATGCTGATGGAAGACTAAAAAGATTCTCTAAGATGATTGAAAGAGTTTCGTCTTTGAGGTGTTAAAATTAAGAAGTTGTTATTTCTATTGTTATAAGAATTTTGAAGGAGATTAGAGTTTTGCATTTGTCTCTTCTGAAAAATCCTGAAATGTGTGTGTGTGTGTGTGTGAATGAATAAAAACAGAAAAGGAAGAGACTATTCTTAGCTGATATGTTTCGTCCTTCGAGACAATGTGGAATTTATCTTGTTGCATGTGCTTATATACAAATTCAAGGATATCATTGGTTTATCAAGGCTTTTAAATTTGAGAATCTAATCACAATTTAAACAATTTAAAAAAAAAAAAAAAAAAAAATTACTTGCTTCTTTTTGCCTTACCAGACTTTTTGAATTATGGCATTGTGTTATCCACATGTTTTGACTGAACGTACAACCACCTGATGGACATTCGTGAATATTTCCAAATTTAAAAAGAGAACTCGATGTAAGAGCAGAGCAAATAATAAAGATGATGAAAATGGAGACTTTAGAAACTCATGGTAATAATTTATTTCACGAGATCAAACTTGATCTTGTGAAATAAATTATTACCATGAGTTTCTAAAGTCTTTCTTTATATATATATATATATATATATATATATATATATATATATATATATACACACACACACACACACACAGTAGGACCTCCCCATCCTCAGTTTCACTTATCCACAGTTGATCCAATTTTCTGTGTTGAAAGATTTCATTAAACTACATCTTTTCAAAATATATTTCACACAGAAAAATATAAATAAAAAAGACAGACATAACATAAGCCTTTAATAATAATAATAATATTTTAGGAATAAAAAAAATTTAAATGTCATCCTCAAGGCCATAAAATTCTGACTTCACAGTTCCTGGGGAAAAAAGTTGAACCAAAAAATAAAATAAAAAAAAATTCAGTTCATTTAATGTTTTTACAGTTGGTGAATATGTCAAATATATTTTCTTTTTAAAATACAGTGTCAATTTCCTGGTGAACATTTTGGGACATACCTAGTATGTATGGTTCACTATTTTCCACGGTTGTCACCCTCCAATGGGGGGAAACTACCCTATGAGGTCCTACTGTACATGTCCACACATTTAATAATATACAAACACTGCCCAGAAAACAATGCAGTGTCTACTGTAATGTCGCCTTCATTAGATGATCACCTGGCAGAGTTTCACAGTTGAAACATCTTTACATCATATCCAAAGAGAGCCAGGAATACTTCATAGCATCAACAGATTTCATATTCGCTTTACTATTTGCAGCAACAGGCTCATCTTGGCTATTATAATCAAAGTGTTTCAGTCATTCTGAACTTCTTCAGGTATCTTGCTTTGTATTTAGTTAACCTTCATGGAATCTTTACTCAATCTTTGAGAGTAGTTTGTCCCTGTTCCACTTTCCATGCTTAGGAGAGATAACTTGTATTAGTTAGGGGAGATAACTTGTATTAGTTAATACTCATCTGTCATATTTACCTTTGCATCTCTTGTCTGTTTCTTTCACTGAACTAGCACTAACAAACCCAGGGATTGAACTCTAAATGTTTAGGGAACTTGATATGTATTAACCAACACTAAACTACTGGGCCATGTGTATGAAGACACCTGAAACATGAAATGTTGATATAACAACCAAAATGCGCATGCTGGTCCAAATAGCAAAGCATATCATGATAATTCCTCCGTCTTACTTGGAATTTTGAACTGAATTCTTTATTAAATCAATAGAGACAGACTGTTCTCATTCCACTTTTCATGCTCAGGGAAGGTAACTTGCACTTAGTCATCTTTGTATTGATTGTTTGTTTGCTTCATTGAATGAAAACACTATACCCCTGTGAATTTAATAGTGTTCACTTTGAAATTCCTAAAAGGTTACTGGGTACAAAGACACCTGAATAAGGCCAAAGGGGACAATGGTTGAAACATTAAGCATAACAACCAAAATGAGCATGCTGGTCCAAATAGCAAAGATGTAATAATAACGTTAATTCATCTCATCCCAAAGACTTCCATCATCAGATTTTGCTTTGATCTCTGTCGATGTCTAAGTAGCAGATGTAGCCTTAGCCCAATTTTTGAGGTTCTTTTATTTACACGTTTTTTTTTAGCCCAGACATCCCAAGTTTAGCCAAACATGCACACACGCACATACATACACACAGAAAATATATGATACAGAAGTGTGTATTTCACTTTTCAATAAATTTCATTATATAAACAGCATTCAAAAAAAAAAAAAAAAGTTTTTCTTTTCGTAAATTTAACAAATCACATATGAGCAGTTCCAGTTCTTGTTTAGTTTTTTTTTTTCCCAGGGAAAATTTTTTTCTTTTTTTTACCAGAACAAGCCTGAGAATGGCAGCTTCTGTTCCCTATCCTCATTAATGCCAAGAGAAACAAAATATGCTCTTCAGAAACACAGAACGCAAATTCTGAATTCCTCTTTGACCAGGTACCATTCTCCAAATGTCATTAAGAGAAAATTTAATAGGGATATGTTTTTAATAGACGACAATCAACCATTTATTCCAGGACCTTGTAAAAAGAAAAGTAATTTAATATGTTGCTGAAAAGTTGTTTTCAAAAAGAAACAAAATCAACAAAATCTTAAAATCAGTAATTATTGCCAACTTTCACAAGACTATAAGAATTGCTCCTAGGATAAAATTGAGTTTTGCAGAGAAAATAGATTAGATGCCACCTGATTGTATGACTGTTACAACCAGATGGCACCTGACTGAATGGCCGCCGCAACCAGATGGCACCCGATTGGATGGTCACCACAAGCAACCAGATGGCACCCGACTGGATGGCCGCCGCAACCAGATGGCACTTGACTGGATGGCCACCACAACCAGATGGCACTGGATGGTCACCACAAGCCAGATGGCACCCGACTGGATGGTCACCAGATGGCACAATGGCCGCACAACCAGATGGCACCCGATTGGATGGTCACCACAAGCAACCAGATGGCACCTGACTGGATGGCCGCCACAACCAGATGGCACTTGACTGGATGGCCGGCACAACCAGATGGCACCCGATTGGATGGTCACCACAAGCAACCAGATGGCACCCGACTGGATGGTCGCCGCAACCAGATTGCACCCGATTGGGTGGTTATTTTTCATATATATTGAATTTCAAGTATGATTCCTGGTCAGTAAGAAAACAGAATGGTTGTAAGTTCCCTCTGAAAATATTTTTTTCATGGCATTAAGAGTGGTGGTTGGGAAGTCAATGATGGTAAAGTTAATAGTCACCAAAAAGATGTTTTTTTTTTGTTTTTGTTTTCCATTCCTTTTTGTCTGTACCCTAATTTGATGAAAAAAAGAAAATAGAGACTTCTGTACATGTATCAAACAAAATGGAATGAAAATTGGATTACAAGAAAAAAAAAAAAAAAAAAAAAAAAAAAAGAAAGATTCAATTTTTTTCCTTTCCTATTGCTTTTTTTTTTTTTTTTAAATTAAAGGGGAAACAAACCTCCCTTTTCAAAGAAAAAAAAAAGTAAGAAAATTCTTTCCACTGTCATCTTTTCCAAGTGCTGATCCAATTGACATGACAATGTCCACCAAATTAAATTCTTTTGTTTTTTTGTTTCACTTTTAGTGTTTCCTTAAAGAAATTGTTTCTTCTCTCCTAATAAATCAACTGACCAGATGACCAGCCGTTAGAGGAACCCAGGCACCTGGCCAGCCAGCCAGATCTAGGATGCAGAATCACCAGAGTGTTTAAGGTTTTCTTTAAAGTCTGGTACTGGTAATTTTACTGTTACATGATGATATTTGTCTCGACCTGCAGTTGCTTCTGGCTTCACCTCTTTTCCTGGTGAGTGACCTGAGGGTGGGGCTTTAGGGAATTCTCCCTCTTCAACAAGTGACGGCCATTTTGGTTGCTGGTCCACTTTGCTAAGTCGTTCATTTAGCGCCTTCAATGCTAATTGCCTGGAAAAATAATTTAAATTATTCAATCATTAAACTTACATATAAATACATACATTATTTTAATTTCTTAGAGGAAGCATTGTCAGTTATTATTCTTGCTTGTTATCTGACAATGTTTTAATTTTGGGAATATGCTTTGGTCATTATGAGTAATAAAAGGTTTTGCCATTTTTGGTCATCCTTACTTCAGCTGCCATATAAGACTTAAATTTAAGTGAGCTTTCATCACATATGGTTAAGGAAAGTTAAAAACATAGCTTGACATGTTTTGTATGTTAGAAAGAAATGAACATTGGCTTTTATATATATATTTTTTTTTTTAAATTAGTACATCTTTTATGTTTATTTCAGTTGCTTTTTTACTGGAAGTTCCACATTGTCATTAACATTTGTAGACTGGAAATAAACCTCTGAGGGGACTCCTGTCCTTTATTCTTGGAAGCTTGATTTAATGTGACATCTGTCTTACAGGTAAAGCTACAGAGAAATGGCATGTATTTCTAAAAAAAAAAAAAAAAAAAACAAGAAACAAACACATTGCTTATGCTATAGAAATTAAAAATATTAATTATCAAGTTTAATGTATTATTTCAATTGTATCAAAGACCATTTTAGGGAGACTCAGTAAATTTATATTGTAATGAACACTTGAAGCTTGTAAGCAGACAATCGCCTTTGAAAATCTGTACCTCTTATATACAAAATTCAATTTGCATTAATGTCTTCTCACAATGAAAACATTTGACATCCCAAAATAGAGATTAAATCTGGGGGAAAAAAAAAAACTAAAGACAGTACGCATACTGTCCCTCTGCCTTTTTTGTGGTAGTGACCACTGTCTTATGGAGAACATTGTCTTGTCATCTTTGTCTAAAAAAAGTCATTTATCTTCATTCAATGACCTTCATTGTCCAAGCTGCTTGCCATGATACTTGTGAAGTTCAATTTATTTAGCTGATAATCATCAGGAAAATAAATGATTTCAATCATTTTTGTGACAGGTCAGCTGTTTTCCATTTAACTGACACCGATATTGCTACAGAAACAAAGATACCAGAGGAAAAATCATTTGTCATTGACTTATTTGGTTTGTTGATGCAATGTTGGGGTTCTTTCTGAAGAATTACAGATAAACCATTACAATCCAGAGACTACAATCCAGAGACAACATGCCATACTGCCGCTTCCAATTTGGTAAAAGTTTTCTTTCTACTCAAAGGGCTTCATTATCCATCAAGCTATCGTAGTCAACAAACGTTAAAGAATTGTTTTAGACTTAAATTATCCGAATTCTGATATTAAATATTTTTTATTATTAATTGTATGTTAACAATGAAGCCTCTCATGATGAAATCATTATAGACAATGGCATGTCTCAAAGTAATGTATACATTGTTTACACTATAAAATTATTTCATACACATTTTCAAAATATTTATATTTAACCTCATTATTTATTTCAAGTGTATCAGGCAGCATTTTAGGGAGACAGTGAATTTATATCGATTGCAATTAATGCTTAAAACTTGTAAGCAGACATTTACCTTTGAAAATCTCTACTTCTGATATAGAAAATTCAATTTGAAGTTATATCTTCCCACAATGAAACATTTGACACGTCCAGACCAAACAGAGAGTAAATCTGGAGGGGAAAAACTAATTTTGTTGCTTATTCAGTGAGAGCTACTTTTGAATCTGTGTAAATACGCTTTTTTTTTTTTTTTTACCCTGACCACTACAATCTTAAGCACTTAAGTCCAGGGTCAAACGTTATCTATGTTACATATCCTCATAATATAAACATTCTTACCTCCTCCTCTTACGTTCATACAGCAACCTCATTCACACTCTGGCTGATAATCGTTGGGAAAATAAATGACTGAAACCATTTTTGTGACAGGTCAGCTATTTTCCATTTGACAAGATATCAGCTGACACTGATCTCGCTACAGAAACAAAGATGCCAGAGGAAAATCGTTTGTCGTTGACTTTTTTGGTTTGTTGATGCAATGTTGGAATTTATTCTGAAGAATTATGACACACAACGCTGCAGTCTTCCATTTGTTTATTATTTTCTTTCTACTCAGTGCGCTTTATTGTCTGCCAAGATATCGTGGTCGACAAACATTAAAGAATTATTTTAAGCTTAAATCATCCAAATTCTGAGATTAAATGTTTTTATTATTAATTGTATGTTAACAATGAAGCCTCTCATAATGAAATCATTATAGACAATGGCATGTCTCAAAGTAATGTATACATTGTTTATTCTATAAAATTATTTCATACACATTTTCAAAATATTTATATTTAACCTCATTATTTATTTGAATTGTATCAGACAGCATTTTAGGGAGAGTGAATTCATACTGATTGCAATGAATGCTTAAAACTTGTAAGCAAACATTTACCTTTGAAAATCTCTACCTCTGATATGCAAAATTCAATTCTCTAACACTAAAATACTCCATAACTGCAATTATCAAAAATAGACTAACATTTATTGAAGCTATTATTTACATCCAACAGAAACAAACATACATAGCTGTGTTTCTTTCTTTCTTTTTTTTTTTTTTTTTGTTGAGACAGGATCAAGATTAAACTTGTACAAATAAAGTGTTGTCCAGCCTGACAAAAGATTTGTCATAATGATTTGAGGCAAGGTTTAAAAAGGCCAGATGGTCTTCTTGACACCCAACTCAGACATTTGCAATAATCCAAGTACACCAAGTGTTTTTATCAAGATATCACCTCTAGAAAAGTTGCTATTCAAGCCATGATACCCTATCCTACTTTTATATTTATATCACTTTCATTAAAGTTGATGACAAGGTACTGTGATTAATAAAAAGCTTAATCACAGTACCTTATCAGACGTCTTTACCAAAACTTGTATAAAAGAGGGATTGCTGTCTAAATACACTATATATATATATATATATATATATATATATATATATATATATATAAGAAATAATTTATAGAAAGAATAGCAATGTTAATGTGATTAATGGCAAAATCACTTTGCTAACAGGACTTAATGAGACATTAACTTACTATCAATTCCTTGAACAATAAGATCCTTATATTCGAGTTGTTGTCAGATGGAAGACACATGCCAAGTACTTTTGACAATTTTTTTACATTTGATATGCCATGGGCAGATATGAATGTACTTGAGATTCATGGAAGATCGAAGTTTAAATACAGTAAATTCGACCTTGCTAACCGAATGAAATCGGTAAAGGCACGTCAAGCTAAATGACGGTTCCGTATAGGATACAGGTTCGAATCCTGTCGGAGGACGAATATTTTCTTTGAAAATTTCTCGGACATTCAGGCTGGTAAATGTTGTTTAATACTGTTTGCTATAAACAGAGCATTTACTTAAATATTTGTATCTATAAAAAGAATGTATAAACATAAAAATGTCTTAAAATAATTGTCGGACTTTGTCCATTTCATAATGTGTGACGTCATTTGTTTACATTTGATACGCCATGAGCAGATATGAATGTACGTGAGAGATTCATGGAAGATTGAAGTTTAAATACAGTAAATTTTGACGTTGCTAGCCGAACGCTCCTTCGTGGCCAAATCAGTAAAGGCACATCAATCTAAATGATGTTTCCGTATAGGATACAGGTTCGAAACCTGTCGGAGGACAAATATTTTCTGTGAAAATTTCTCAGACATTCAGGCCTGTAAATGTCGTTTAATACTGTTTATTATAAACAGAGCATTTACTTAAATATTTGTATCTATAAAAAAGAATGTATAAACATAAAATGTCTTAAAACAATTGTTGGACTTTGTCCATTTCATAATTTATATATATATATATATATATATATATATATATATATATATATATATATATATATATAGGTTCGATTCCTGTCAGAGAACTAATATTTTCTATGAAAATTTCTCAAACATTCAGGTTGGTAAATATTATTAATATTGTTTATTATAAAGCAGAGCATTTACTTAAATATTTGTATCTATAAAAAGAATGTATAAACATAAAAATGTCTTATGTAGTTTTCTATACAATTTCTCATGCCATTAATAATTTTTTTTCTTTTCAGATGATAAAATGTTCATAGTTAATATAATTAAGTGTTGTTTTTTTATTTTTAGCCTTTTTTTGCATGCTATTATGCTAGTGTTTTTTATATAATTTATCATCTGAAAAGAAAAAATTATTAGATCACACGAGAAATTGTATAAAAACTAAATAAAAGCACCTTGTCTGTCATATTCAATGAAATGTGCATGAAAGAAAAGATTGCTGCCTAAATACACAAATTTTATATATATATATATATATATATATATATATATATATATATTTTAAGACATTTTTATGTTTATACATTCTTTTTATAGATACAAATATTGAAGTAAATGCTCTGTTTATAATAAACAGTATTAATAACATTTACCGGCCTGAATGTTTGAGAAATTTTCATAGAAAATATTCATCCTCCAAGAGGAATCAAACCTGTATCCTATACAGAACCGTCATATAGCCTGACATGCCTTAACCGATCAAGCCACGGAGGATCGTTCGATTAGCAAGGTCGATTTTACTGCTTTTAAATTTCAATCTTCCATGAATCTCTCACGTACATTCATATCTGCTCAAAGCGTATCCAAATGTAAACAAATGACGTCACACATTATGAAATGGACAATCTATATCTATAAAAAGAATGTATAAACATAAAAATGTCTTAAAATAATTGTTGGACTTTTGTCCATTTCATAATTTATATATATATATATATATATATATATATATATATATACATACACACAGGTGTATTTAGGCAGCAATCCTTCTTTCATGCACATTTCATTGAATACAATAGACAAGGTGCTTTTTTTGGTTTTTTATACAATTTCTCATGCGATGTAATAATTTTTTTCTTTTTGGATGATAAATTATATAAAAACTGTTCAAACGTTCTTTTTATCAGAGCACTTTAGGCTATAAATTTAGACATTTTCAAGGATTAAATATTTTAACTGTTAAATAAGAAATAGTTGTATGAATGTTTTATAAAATGTTGTCATTTTTTAAAACACGGTCAAGATATTGTGTCCATGTTCAAAGTTAATATTATTAAGTGTTGGTTTGTGTGTTTTTATTAATAAGGCTTCCATTATTTTAGCCTTTTTTTTTGCATGTAGATGATGCTATCATATATTAGTGTTGTCAACAAGTATGTTACTAATAGTGTCCCGTAGGTCTCCATGAATACTTATTTTTTATTTAACAGTTAAAATATTTAATCCTTGAAAATGGCTAAATGTATAGCTGAAAGCGCTCGGATAAAAAGTACATTCGGAGAGTTTTTATATAATTTATCATCCGAAAAGAAAAAAAATTATTAGATCGCATGAGAAATTGTATAAAAAAACTAAATAAAAGCACCTTGTCTGTAATATTCAATGAAATATATATATATATATATATATATATATATATATATATATATATATATACAAAACAATGGTTAGAATGTCTGCATGAGAAATGGCTTCAAATCAACCATGGTTCGATTTCTCAGGAAGGAGAATTCCTGATGTTATCGGACAGGAGCGGAGAGATCCCATGAGAATTTCCAACTTTGGAAAGTGCCTGAAAAGCTTTGTGAATGAAGTTGGGTTGACGGAACCCTTGGGTGCCAGTGATAGCTGCGCTAGAACGAAGTCACAAGTCATCATGGCCGAAGGCTTGAGTGAACTGGCCTTGTTCACATAGTTGATCACACTAGATAACACGCTCTTTCCCAGAAACTGTAACTATGGTCTACTCAGCATAATTGCAGTATAAACTACGGGGGGTACTGAACAAACACAAATATGCCTGAGCAAGCGTCTGCAATAGGGATTAGCTAGCTGCCCTAGTAGACGGGTATCCTTGAATATGAATAGCCAGCTAGACTTGTGTGTGTGTGTGTATGTATATATATATATATATATATATTTATATATTACACTTACACACACAAGATACCATGGGCTGTACCATCATTTGAGAGATTGCTTCTGAAAAAATACAAAAAGAGATTGAATAGAAAAATGACTCTAGCGGTGCTAGACATTTTAGTAAGATCTGTCTCACCTTCTTCTTTCTGCATCCTGTGGATCTGTACCTGGTAATGTGATGGTAATTGTTGTTGGAGAACTGACATCATATTTCCGCTGAGGTTTCTTGCAAATTTTCATTTTCACCAAAGTGCTGAAGATTGTGTTTGCGAAAATGCCAACGACAGGCTGGAGTCGACTGGGGAAAAAACTGAAAAAAAAGAAAATAAAAATTGGTAAATAATTGAAAGATTCTAAACCAATTACATTCATTCTAATAGCTGTTGGGAGCTGGCTCATTCTGGGAAAGTCATCCTCTCTTCAAAAAACTAAAGTACAATTTTATTTTCAAACATGAATTGGGTATCCAAGATGAATCCCTGAAATATAGAAACAAAGATTTACATGAAATCAATGCATTAAGCTTATCAGCTTAAGCTTATGGTTATCAGGAAAAATATCTATTGATAAGGATTTGTTTTTGTTTGATTTTTGAGATAAGAAATTTTTTATATACTTCATCTCAAAAACCAAGCACAATTATGTAAAAAAAAAAAAAAAAGCATTTCAAATAAAATGACCAAATATCAAAACTGATGAAAATTGGAATTAAGTGCTTCAAAAATTCCCCCCCTTGTGAAAGTCCTTTATTGGACATAAGCCTTCCCCAGGCTTTTCCATCTTTGCTGTTCATGAGGGAAGAAATGCTGGCCCAATGCATTTAGGTAGGAGCTCACAGCACCTGATATTTGCAAGCAGTCACCAAACTAAGTACGGACCAAGCTCAACATTGCTAAATGTTGGTGATCGGACAGGAACTGGTGTTTCAATATTTGATACAGCTGTAAGCTGTCCATATCTAGATATAATTATTTGTTTTGCCCTGTTGAAGAAGGCCTGAGAAGCACACCGTACAAAAGTGTGATAATAACAAAGATGAGGATATTATATAAATATAATATCATATATAATAATATATGTAAATAAGAATAACTCCTCTGATAGAAACACAATTTTCCTGCTCTTCATGTGTCCTTGTGCCAGACTAACCTAATGTTAACCTGCATAGTGGCTGAAATAAGCAAGCAATTCCGCAGATTCCATTGGGCAGTATTCAAGATACTGCCCACCCAGTTTAAAGCCGGGATTTCAGACAGGCCAACCATACTTGGAAGATGAGGAGAGCAGATTTGTTTGTTTTTTTGTTTTTTTTAATTTCCATTTTGGTTACCATTTGCCTTTTGTATAAAATTAAACTGAATTAATATCACATACACCTGTCCTATAATGGTTGGTACATTTATGACATGAAGTGTATATGCAAATGTAACAACTATTATAGGACAGAGGTTGCATATTTTTACATTTGTGTGTGTGTGTATTTGTGGAAAAGTCACCCTCTCAGCAACTGGTTTAGCCAGTCACATTACATCACACCAGGGAGATCAGGTGCAAATTTCCTGTGAATGCAATCCTACCAGAAAGAAATGCAGGTTAATTGTGTGAGTTTTGTGAGAAAGTTTGTAAGTCTGTTGCAGGATTCAAATGTCACATGATTAGGCACAGGCAAATTTCCAATATATAGTATATTATATCAAAATATAAGTCTGGCTATAAAAAACAAATTTGTTTTTATAGCCAGACTTATATTTTCCGATTTCTTTTTGAATTTGTAGGTCTGATGAATTGGATTGTGATTATGATTCCAATGTAATAAATTATAACCATGGAATATTAGTGTTTGAGACCTTTATATTATATTCTTACTCTGTCCTGGACATTGAGTTCTACCTGATTCTATCCTCTTATATAATTTATATATATATATATATATATATATATATATATATATATATATATATATATATATATATATATAAACCCACTACATATATTGGTTTTAAAACAACCATGCTCTCCCATAGATTTACCTGTCACCTTTCTGATCTTAGTTCCAGTGTACATTTCTTAGAAAAACATAGCCATATACATAATATTAGACAGATATTAGTTGATAACACAATGATACTCACACATACACACACTAAAAAGAACCTTCAGATATTGGAGGCCATCTGCATTAAAACAAAGCAACTCACATTCAACAAAATTGCTTTTCAAACCGGTCACAATATATTGCAATGCATCTAAAACACATGGTTTTGTTGATAACATTTCTTTTTTCATGTGCTCATGTATGTCATAAAACTGCGTCTGCTATTCTGTGACCGTTATTGTTGCATAGCAATCTTCTATGTAAACATAACAAGATGTCATCTTTGATGGTGAACATCTCTGTTGGAATGTCCATTTTGATGATGGCTCATGTGAGCCGAAAGCTTAGATCAAGGAATTGCATAATAAAAAAAATATCCAAATGTTGGACAGTTTTTGTCTTTATTTTCTCCCGAAACTAAAGCCACAATATGAAGCTTAGAACAGCTCATGATCAAACATAATAGACATTCACTGTCTATAGTTAACATTTAACAATAATAATGTATGAATATATATATATATATATATATATATATATATATATATATATATATATATTATTAATTCTTCATTTTCTTCATGAAATGACAAGAGCTGTAATAGGCTGAAACTGTTATCATATATAGGCGAGAGTGACCCATATTTTCACTTTCCACTCTCAATAGAGTCCAAAAGGTCAAATTTAAGAAATGCTCATGAATATTCATCAGATTAACTGAAAATTCTAGGTAAATTATGGAAGGTGCTAAGTGACATAATTTAATGTCTAATAAACAAAAGTGAGTAAATGATGTTGATGCACTTAATATTTAAATTATTTTAGTATTGGATAAATTTATGTATTATATATATTTTAAATAACAGGAGATCATGGACTTAACCATTTTCTTGTCATTTTTTTTTTTTTTTTACATTTTTATTGTTATGTATGTTAGCTTGGAAAGGGAGTAATTCTTTCAGGAATGGAGATATTTGAAAAAATCCGGGGTGCAGATTTATATTTTGATAAGATTTGATAGCAGCACTCTTGAGAATTTTCCATTCTAAGTTACTTTCTCTTTTAGTATGTCATTCTTTAAACCAAAGTTGTGGTTGAATTTATTTCTATGTATGACTAATGCATTTATTTCTATGTATGACTAATGCATTTGATTAATTGTTGTGTATTTTTGTGTTCATAGTTTCTCCAATGTATTATGAAGAGCAATTATGACGGATTATTTTATATATACCAGTTTCAGAATTATTATTGTTATGATTATTTTGGGTTCTGATCATATTCATAATAGTTTGGGATGTGGTTGTAATTATTTTGATATTAAAAATGGATAAATTGTCTTGGATAGTAGATGTTAAGGAGTTAATAGGTAGTATTATATGTTTATTTTTATCTAGTTGATTGTCATTGTTTTTATAATGCCATTATCTTTTATGTAGTTGTATATTTTGTATGCCTTTCTCTTAGTATTGGGGTTAAACTAATGAGGATATTCAAGCTTTTGGAAAGTGTTTTCTATATATATTTCTTCTCTGGGTAAGTATTGGGGGCTGCAGATTCTTAGTGCTCTTAAATAGAATCCTGTAATTATTCAAGATGATATTCTAATATCATAACTAATAAATGACCACCCATTGGAGGTTTACAGAAAATCTACCAACAAAAATGACCTTATCAATTTTTATTCTCACCACTATAACAAGATAAAGTAACAAGTGTGCATCACCTACATTGTGAATGGACACAAAATTAAATAAAAAAAATAAAAGGATGATTGGCTCCAATGTGGGGTGGGGGAATTAAAACATAATATTTCAATTCATGTTCTTGACCAATAATAGTTGTAGCAGAACAAGGGACGTGCTGGCAAGGTAGGCACTATCTGTTCTGAATAAAATAGATCAGCAGCTAGATTTTCCTTCTGTGGCACAATATGCACCTAATTCAACAAAATTATGAAGGTTTCTCTGATTATTATGGATAAAATGAAAAATATTTTTTGAAGATTTACAAGATAAATGCCACTAACTGCTTACTCCGAGTAATTACTGATGGCACATGGCTGAGCAGAACATATGGACAATTTTATCCGTTGCAACAAAACATGATAAAAACAAGAAAAAAACTACTAAAAACAAATGTTATCAAGACTACAGATAAGTTTATTAAAACAAACTTTCTGTACTCTGTTTGATAAAAGTTACTATATATATATATATATATATATATATATATGAGAAGAGAATGAGGGAAAGCTGTACATAATTATAAATTATAAAATGACATTGAAATTAATCATCTATACAGCAGCTGTTCTCCTCCACATGACTCACCTGCAAGGGAGGAAACAATGACATGTTACACACCAAATCAACTCCCAACAGTTTTAGGATTCAGGGTTGGAGGAGGAGGAGGAACAAACAATTATGAGGAGGAACAAACAATTATGAGTAAGAATGAATAGAGGAGGAGGAGAGAAAATTGTAGAGAGGAGAGAGAGGTTCACTTTCAAAGTTGAAATTGGGGGAGGGGGTGAAATAGTAAGTTTCCAACTTTGGACACATAGTACATTTATCTGGGGAGTGGGGAATGAAATATACTTGTCGAGAAAAAACAAAAAAAAATGCTTAGATTAATTAGATCAAATTTCAAGCTGGGATTTTGATTATATATATTTAGAAAAATACGACAAACTGTTTTTCTAAATACTGTTTGTTGATATACAAAATTATATATATATATATATATATATATATATATATATAAAATAAAGAAGAAATATCATTTTAAGGTATGCTATATTTATGGGATAAAGTGCTTAATAGCAGAGATAGAGCTTATGTAAATATAAAAATGAACATTGAAGCCAACACTCAGATATGACAGACTGTTTCATGCTATATATATATATATATATATATATATAAAATTGTTTATTTGGGCAGTTATTCCTTTTTTATACAAGTTTCACTAAATATGACTGACAAAGTACTATGGTTAAGATTTTTTTATTTAATTTTTCTTGTGTTCTTACAATTTACTTTATTTATGGACATAAATTACATAGAAATTGTCTGAATATTCTGCATGTCCGAGCGCTTTCAGCTATGCTTTTAGTTATTATCAAGGAAGATTTTAATTTTTGCTTTTAACTGAATGTATGAATTCCTTAGATACACTCATAAAGGAAAAAAAAATCCATACATTAAAAAAAT